CTTCAGCCTAGGGTTCTTCACTTTTCATATAAAACTAAAGTTGACAAAGAAATTGTAAAAATTGACTCACTTAAGCAACTTGTGCTTTACCTAAACCCGTCCTCAAGGGACTGAATCCAATTAATATAATGTGCAATTTTGTAGTTTAAGATTCTAAAGTAGAGTGATCACATTATGGAACATGATGGGTTACCCCCTTCTTAACTTGTTGTGTTCTCCAATCTGGCAATCTCCATTTTAAATGATGGTGGCCTCTGAATTAAAAAGAGATCAATAATAAAAATAAAAATAACAATATTCTTTAAAATAATTAAACTTATATTACTCAATAAGCAATAATTAATTATAGGTGTAGTGGGAGTTTAGTAATAAAAAAGCATGTGGAAGGTTTTGGCTTCGGTGGAGTTAAAAATGTTAACGCAAATCGATTTTGGAATTTGTAAATACCTAAACGTGCACTCTCGATACCCCCTCTACCCGATATATGGTCACTTACTAAATTATACTATGAAAACAGATTGGATCGGATTCGAATTAGGGTAATATCTAAATCCGATTCAATATTGTTAAGAGTTTATATCGAATCTCATAAGTATGTATTTGAATTTGAATAAAATAAAGAAGTCGAATTCTGATCAAATAGGGGGTGATCCGATCTGATTTCTGATCTATTCCTATTTTCTGATCTGGTCCAATCCGAAAATTTGGACACGGGAGATCTAAATCCAACAAAAATAAGATTGGATCAGAATCTGATCCATTTGCACCCTACCAACAAATTAGAACTGTTTTTAGAAGGGGATGTAGATGTGGATGTGGATTTTGATCTTAAATCTCTTTATTTAAAAAAATAAATAAACTTTTTTAGGTCTCATTTTTTCGGTATTAGTGGGTTTTATGGAAAAGAACAAATTTCAAGTGATTCATTTATAGAGGAAGTAATACTCTCCTTAGACTTACATAAATTATTTTACCAATACACATTGAAAATCGCTAGTACATGTTGGAATAATATTACTATTTTTTGATAAATCAGTCATTATACACCTTTACCTGGGGGATAAAAAAACACAGGTAAGTACTCTTATTTGGGTAAGTAATTCCCAGAAAATATTTGTCCCGATAATTACATTTACCTAGGTAAATCATTTTATCGAAACACGAACTAGGCCTTTACATGTACCTAGGATTGTTTTTAACACATCACACTCTCAATTTTCACTTCTAGGGAAATCACTTAAATTTTCTCCTATATTTTCATCCTGACTTACACTCCCCTACTTTTTAAAAAGATCTGAAAATTATGTTAACTATATGACAAAAGATATTTAATTAGATTTGTTTTAATACAATGATAGTCACCTCTGCTCTCAAAGGAGGTTAGTGTCTTAATGGTGGCTCATTCCAGATCTACTGCCCACATAACTCAATTGTCCTGTATTGAGAACATCTACTCATGAATAACAAGGGAGATATCAAACTATAATACCCCATGGGTAGGGATGTGGGAATAATTTGTACATACTATGAGTTCAAATCAGCCCCCCACAACTGTCCCACAATACATTTCTATCTTGTATTAGGAATAAGTCCCGATGATAATACTAGAAATGATGATGTCATCATCAAGAGATGTTTTCAATATACGACACGGATATACTGTGGGATGTTGTGGGGGATAATCTTGTGAAGGGATGATTTATTGTTACACACTAGATCCAAGCCCATTATGATTACCTACATTGAAAAAGGAAAAAAAAAAAGCATCGTTGCAAATGAATTTTGTATATTTTATTTAATCTTTTAAATAAAGTACAAAAAATCTCTATATAAAAAAATATTCATACTATTATAAAGTAAATACTTGTCTGCAAGCTGTAAAAGTTAAATTTGATAACATATTCCTACCGTAATATTTTTACCTTTACTTGTACACATATATAAAATGTGCACTTACACTAGTTAAATAAAATTAATCTAAATTTACAGCATAAATAATAAGTATAAAAAATAGCCGAATATTAGTTTATAAGCTCTTAAACTATCAATATGCCTATATACATTTTACCTAATTCATCAAATAAAATCTGATTTACAATCAGCAAAAAAGAAAACCGTAATCAGTGTTGTCAGACTTGGATTGGACACACACTCGGATGAATTGGGAATCGGAATCTAAAATGGGTATTTTTGGGTTTACAGTTCTTACAAAGATTTCTTCGGTCATTTATACTCCAACTGCACGCTTTTACACCCTTAAGCTTATTTTATTGTAAAATTACTACTTTCTACTTTTCCTATTCTTAATTTCTCTATGTTTCTGCGGAACTTTTTATTTTGAAACCGAACTAATTTTGACTGGTTTGGTGGGGTGGGGTGGGGCTAAACGAAAAAATGAGAAAGGGAGGAGAAGAAGTAGGGATTAGAGAAAAATGGAGTGAGGAGGTTTGGGTAGGACTGTCAATGATATTCGAAAATCTGATTTCGAATTCGAGATTTGACATAATCGAATCGAATTCGGATGATTCGTATCTAATCGGTCGAATTCAGATATGGCATGATTTGATTCGATAAATATGCGAATTTGACCAATTATTTAATTTTTATATATAAGATATATAAAATTTTTAAATAATTTATATATTTATATTTTTATATTAATAAAATATTTATTAATTACTTAAAATAAATAATTAATTGAATTCAAATCGAATCAAATATTTGAATATTTAATCGAATATTAATTTTCAATATCTGTTGGATATTGAATCGAATTCATATATTAAATTTTTTAATCGGATTCGAATTTAGATATTGCCTGATCCGATTTAAATACTGATACCTTAAATTTTTCCAAAAATATTTTATATTATTTTATATATATTTGCATTTATACTCTTTCCAAACTGAGCCAAATTTTTTTAATTGGGTTCAATTTTCTATTTTTCCGTTTGTGATGAACACTCCTACATGTATTAATAGCTTATTTTTGAGTAAATATCCTTCTTTTCTATTGACATTTTTGTGTCAATATCCTTATCTCTTCGTTTATTTGGTAAAATATTTTTGGACCAAACAAATGTATGTGATGGGGGATATATTTCCATTTATTCAGAAGCTAGGGAAAATTCGTATTCTCTTTCTCTTGAGTATCTTGAGTCAATGAGTATGAGGGAGACGGACCACCAACGGCTACAAACACACACATCATCTGTTGTGAAAAATGAAATAAATAAACTAATAAAAATGGCCAACTTTAGTAAAAAGCTCGATGATCAATGCAAGGTCCACTCTCTGACTGACCACGGCTAGCCCCACCGGCCAACATCTAATTCACAACGCGACCGACACCGTCAGATTACGGAGAGACTCACTTTTCAGAGCCCAAAAAAAAAGCCCAGAGCCCAAAAGGGGAGAGAGGCCCAAGAAGTTCACAGACGACAGACGGGTAGAGAGAGTGGAAACCAGGCTGGCGTACATCCGTACTTGTCATACGGATTCGTAGCATATTACTGCCGTTTAACAAGGTAAAGGCTTTGGGTTCTCGGGCGGGCCGGGCGCGAGTATCATGACCTCTCACGCATGCTTCTTGTCGGTGACGGAGCCCCCGACCCCGTACGTACCACTAACTGATACGGGGCTCGGGAGTTGGGTCTCGGGTTGGGCCGGAGTGCCGGAGGACGTGTAAATAAGTTAACATAACACAACCGACACAGTGCTTTCTTTTCATCATTTCTCCGCCACGTTTCCTGTTGATGATGCTCGTCCAGGAACGTAGACCCCGTGTTCCGTCACCCGTGGATCTCCAATTAGACCGACTTCTGTCGTTTTATAAAAATGAGATTCGCCTTTTCCTTTTCCTCTTTACTTAAAAAACTTACATCCTTTGTCTATAATGTCCAACTTGTCCTCTCTCAACTCCCTGATTCGACGTCGTCGTCAACTGTCAACCACGCCCGGATGGCGGGATGGCCGGAAGGCCCGGATCCAATTCCTTCCCCTTACAGCCATAACCTCAACTCTAGCTTTTGCAGGGCCAGGGACAGATTCGTCAATTTCAAAACAAAAATGCATTTAAATTAATTACTAGTATAATAAATAAATTCTGGTATTCATTGATTAGTAATATCATTATGGTAGTGCGTGGTTGCATGGTGCCATGGTTGGGCCATGGAAATTGCTAAAAAGAAAGATTTTAATGATACCATCTGTTAACGTCTGAGATCGCTCAGATACTCCTTTAAAATGTGAGCCACACGTTACACAAATCTGTCCAACTGTCTCTCCCCCGGCCCCCGCACCACACACACACTCAATTAATGCCGCATTTAAGAGATATTTTCTTTAATTATGCAAATAAATGCATAGATATTCTCAAAATTACAGATAGATAATCTTCAGTTCTTCACTCCCCTATTTTTTCCTTTTTTTTTTTTTTTTTTGCTAAAACAAAACCCCTATTTGTATGTTTTTATTCAGGAGGATGAGATATTCCGAAAATTAATGAAGAACAATATTCTCGATATAAATTCTCAAAAGCCGACTTAAACAAATAAACAATATAGATGAAAGAAAGAACTAATTAATAAAGAAATATTTTCGGTATATTTGTTGCCGAATGACTGATTTCTCCCTCGGTTCTTGTCTTGATGAGTTGGGTAGCCACCCTAGGGATGGGGTCTGGATCAACAACATGTGTTCTCATTATAATCGGATGAATTTTTTATTATTTCAAACCGACTAAAATTCGAAACCCGAACAGATTTATTTATGGGCAGTCATTGTAATAATTGTATTATTGACTGGGGACTGGTTCTGCACATTTATAATTTTGCTATTTTATTGATTATTGATTTGATCCGGGATTAGGTCGACCCTGCCCGGACCAGCCCCCAGCCCGACTGACAGCGCTAGGTGAAGAACTGAGAAGGAGCATTATTGTCAATTTAACAACTGAGAATTTATTAATTTATTTATTGAATATTGATAAATGATAACGCTGTGGGTTAGCGCAAGTCCTACGGTATGGTGGAAAAGGCAAAGCTGGAAAAGGGAGGGCTCTACCACTTGTGCCCCCTGCTTCTGCTTGCTTCTTCAGCTTCTCCAACTGCGAGAGCAGACTGGAGAGTGACGGAGACACAAAAAGAGAGTGAGGAGGAGCTGAGACAATCAGCCAACTGTAGAGCACGTTGCCGCAGAGTAGCAGTACTCCGCCCTGTTTTACTCTCGTTAATGGATTCTCTCCCCTTTACCTTTCACAACCCACCCTTTCTCTCTCCAAGTTTGCTTCGTCTGCACGGTGTCTGATTATTAGTGTGATTCTAGCATTCTCTCCTCACTCCCTCCTTCTCTATCTTTCTCAGGCTGGCAGACCAAAAGGGAACCCTAGCGTTCCTTCTCCTCTATCTGTCCTCTCGATTCGCTGATCCTTTCGATTTCAAATCGAAGAAGAAGAAGAGGAGGAACGGAGGCTACCGAGTGAAGATGCTCTGGATCATGAGATTATCGGGTTTCTTCTCTGCCGCAATGGTTATGATCGTTCTGTCTCCTTCTCTCCAATCCTTCCCCCCTGCCGAAGCCATTAGATCCTCTCATTTCGACGGTTATCTCCGTTTCCCCTCCCAGCTTTCCGCCGTCAATACCCTGAATCCTTTTTCTTTCAGAAAGGCATCTTCATATCGCAATGCTGAAGAATGCAGCTCCGCCGACAGAAAAATCTCCGGTCAAAACACCGTATGCGATCCTTCTCTCGTTCACATCGCGATCACTCTCGACATTGAGTACCTTCGCGGCTCTATCGCTGCCGTGCACTCGGTATTGCAACATTCTCTCTGTCCGGAAAACATTTTCTTCCATTTCCTCGTCTCGGAGTCGGAGGCGAACCTCGAAACCCTAGTCCGTTCTACGTTCCCCCAGTTAAAATTCAAGGTCTATTTCTTCGATCCGAAGATCGTGAGGAACCTGATCTCGACTTCGGTGAGGCAAGCACTCGAGCAACCGCTGAATTACGCGAGGAATTACCTCGCTGACATTCTCGAGCCTTGCGTTCGCCGGGTTATATATCTGGATTCCGATCTCGTGGTGGTCGATGATGTTTCGAAGCTATGGACTACAAACCTTGGCTCTAGAACAGTCGGGGCGCCGGAGTATTGCCATGCCAACTTCACCAAGTATTTCACGGAGAGCTTTTGGTCCGACAGGCGGTTTTCCGGCACGTTTGCGGGCAGGAAACCATGCTATTTCAACACAGGTGTCATGGTTATGGATCTAGCGAAGTGGAGGAGGTATGGATACACAAAGAGGATTGAACGGTGGATGGAGATCCAGAAGAGGAGCCGAATTTACGAGCTGGGATCGCTGCCGCCGTTCCTGCTGGTTTTCGCTGGACACGTGGCACCGATCGAGCACAGATGGAACCAACACGGCCTTGGAGGGGATAACGTGAAAGGGAGTTGTCGTGATCTCCACCCAGGTCCCGTCAGCCTCCTGCACTGGAGCGGCAGCGGCAAGCCCTGGCTCCGGCTAGACTCCAAACGGCCGTGCCCTCTCGACGCGCTCTGGGCCCCATACGACCTATATGGACCTTCACCATGACCTTGGATTCCCGGTAAATTCCTCCAGGTTTTCTAATTTTTGTCTTCCTTTTTCTCAATTTCTTGCTTTTTTCCATTGTTTTTGTAACCTTCTCATTTTTTTTTGACAACTTTTTTGCTTTTTGTTCTTCATCACTCTATTGGACATTGTGTATTCTATTCTATTATTATTCGTGCCCCTGAAAATAAAATATTAAATATATATACATACATATATTCAATTCGTTTCAGTTTTGTTGTTAACCATCAGCAATATTGTTAACCATTCAGGTATAAGTACTGTATATAGCAGACTGAATTTGGAAATTCCTGATCAAACCAATGAAATAACAAAACTGACCTCATTAATGTCATGAAATTTGAAAATACTCCCAACTCAAACTCAATAATATTGCCGGTCTGTCCATTTTTGTGGACAAATGACAATTATAATTTGCAGTTGGTGAAGGTGAATTTACTGCCTTGCTTTATTAATTTCTTTTTGGGAAAGACGAATCCGGTGATCTTGAGTACTGAGATGGATTTCGTTGTTCAGTTGTCGGTCTGTGTGGTAAATGAAATACGTTTGGGATGGAGAGAGAATGGGTGTTGGGTTAAGGGTAATGGATAGTGGGGGACTGGAGAGAGAATGAATAGGAAAGTAATACTAATTTGTCCCTTTCGGGTTTGGGTGGCAATCCCTTTCTATTCGGTTTCACTGTTTCTTTCTATGCATAATACTATTTTCCTCTTCATTTATTATTATACTAATACCAAAGTCATTTGCATCAAGGGAGGGACCCAGGCGTCATTGTTGCTTAGAAAGCGTCCAAGGGTGTGGTGAGGAGATTCCTCTTCTCTCTGTTTCTCTCTCCCTCTCTCTCTCTAAACGTGGCCACTTGGCCCTTCGTATTTGATTATAGGGTAGCTTTAATGCTTTATTCTTTCAGGGTTGAATGATTGATTTCTCCCTTTTCGTTCTCATTTTGCAGCTATGTAAAAATATACATACCCTAGATTTTTCTCTCTGTATACAAATATATATATTGGTAGCTAGAATATATGTTTCATCATCAAATATTCAAATTCAAATAATATATTCTAGATGAAACATACATCCTTGTAGGTTTTGTGTTGGTGCTTCTTTTTGTTGTCTGGATTGAACAAGTCTTTTCCGAATTAAAAACGAAAGGAAAAATAAAGAAAGAGGGTATTAGGTCATTAGTCTATTAGTCCTGGTTGGTGGAAGTAGTAGTTTTATAGTTTAGGGGGCCCTAATAACATGGGTGGGAAGTGGGAGCCATACAACGATACACCATCAGTCCGAATTTGACAGCTTCGCTGTCGCAATTATTCTAATTGCAGACCCCTGTGCTTGAACGTGTCAAAAACGCCTAGTTGCTTTTTTTATTTTTGGGCTTGTTGTTTAAGGTTTGGTGAGGGGGAGAGAAATCTCTAATTCTAAAATCTTTGATCTGAGTGAGAGAACCCATAAAGAATCTCTCATCAAAAAAAAAAAAAAAACAGAGAGAGAAGAGAACCTATAATATTTTACAATATGTCTGTCTCTACACTTGGGAGCCCTATCTATCGGCTCTACCTGCTTTGCCACTGATTTGTAACTACCGAACTCTTAATATCTCATATATCCGACTAACAGAAGATGTTACACTTTGTATTAAAATTAAAATGTTTGACCTTTTAGTGTTGGTGAAATTATTGTTGTTTCTAATTTGGACCTTTTAAAACAGATGAGCATAGGGTCCGACGTTGGGGATCAGGCTGTCATTTGTCATCGCAAGTCTTGCAACTCTCCCTCACCGATTCCAATCCAAGTGCAAGTTGAGTGGTTCGTTGGACGAGATGGTGTGGTGGGTCCATCCAGATCCAGGGCGATGAATCTCGGCTACAAATACAATGAAATTCTTTTTTTCCTTTCAAATTGAAGCTGCTGTGTGTACATTTACGAGGTACAACCAAGGACATTCTGCCATTTCTCATGGGGTCTGGGGGCACATGGAGGCTACTTAACACCGATCCACCCACATCCGTCCATCCATCCATCCACCCATCATCACATGCATACTCAGTGGGTCCCATGATGCCTCTCTCTTTTGATTCCTATTCCTAGAGAAAAAATAATAATAAAAAGATTGCCCCAAATTACAGACTTTACTTACAGAAACTTCTCATCTGATTGCATTCATTTTCTATTCTTTTGTGTATGATCATAACTTCATTTAAAATTTATTACTGTATTATGTCCTGTTTGATACACACCTTATGCCTTCCCTTCTGTTTATTGCATTCCAAAAAAAAAAAAAAAGGAAAACCAGCTGTTCATTTGCTGCATAATTCTCGGCCACAAATATCTAGCTGTTCAATTGGTGTTAACCGAAAGTTCAGTATTCACAGTGTTAAAGGCAAAGCTACGGAAATATGTTGTTATCAGCCTCATTACATAATAGGAAACACTGCATATATAAAATCAAAGGCATATGTGCCTTGGGGTGGCAGTGGTGCACAAGAAAACTGCAGTCTACTTATCCCCCTATAAACAATCATCCAGATCTGATTCTTATTACATCCATCAATCACAATCAATCGAGAACAAACACATGATGTCCAGAAAGACAACGACGAGTAGCTCTGATCCGAACCTTTACAGCTAGTAGAGCCTACAAGTAACACGACTAGTCTAATAAGTAGTACCTGGGCTGAACGTGTGGCGACCGCGACCGGCCATCCAATATGGCCGACCACCACTCCCTTTTTTCCCCATTTACTACATTAATAATGAATATACACCTACATATAATCTTTGCAAGTTGGAATTTCTATTAACATAAAATTTATTTTCAGTGATTTTGTATCAATTTTTTTCCACCCTTGCTTCATTTTACTCGGAAAAAGAAAAGAATTAATATGGCTGACCCTTGACCTATACGGATGCATAAAATTAAATTTTTCTGAAAAAACAAGTTCATCAATGGTGCTGTCGGATAAGTACAGCTTTTCATTGCTTGGGGACCTGGGGTGACAATTCAAATCAATCACCCAAGGCAGCCTGTAATTGCTTAGGAGTCATGTACAAGAAAGCACTGATCTGGATGCCTGGAATCAATCAGATTGTACACATACAGCCTTGGTGGTGGTAAGTGGAATCACAGTGTTTCTCATGCAGAGAATGAAGTTGACATTTACTACAGTGCAGTTGTAAAAATAGTTTAGCATTTGGTAATCAATGGTTCTAGATTGTTACTATCGGCTCCTATGAGTCATATTTTTTGGGCTGAGGATCACAATTCACCCACTGGTTGATACTTCCTATGACTTGGGGGCTATTTGCCAATATATCTGATTTTGCTTCTGAAAACCAAACAAGTGCCTCATGTTGATTCTGATTTATACCTGTAACAAACCGTCAAAGTATGTGTTTTTATATGCTTAAAACCTTATTTATAATCAATTGAGCTGTTGAATTTGTGTTAAGATTTATATGGAGTTCTGTATCAATTATATCGTTTCTTCCATCGGATTCTATATACCCTTCCTTTCCCAAGCATATCTCACATAGGTGTCTTGAAACAAGAGCAACCAGCCAACCATCTATTAATTGTTTTACTCCAATTCATCTGTAATTTGTTCTCCGATGATCATGTAGTCGATAAAAGACGAGCCTTGGTTGAGGCTATATTATGAATTAATGACAGGGACTCCAATTGGTATTGAATTTTGGACAGTTCTCACTCCTCGGCCACACAAGCAGGTCAACCATTATAATATATACCCTTCAGCCCCAACCCCCAATATCTATTAATAGTGGGCAGTAGGTCGGATTATTATCAACTTTTTACCGTAGCCTTTACCGCTAGGTGGTGATGAAATGTTTTTGCCTGTCAGTCATCTTTAGCCTATTTGGTTTGTATGAATAGGGGTCTGAAATCAGAACTGGAATGTGCTGTTCCATTCCAACAGTTTGGTTGGGTGGAATCAAAATTCATTTTCATTCTTGGTGGAATGACATTCTCTTATTTGAGAGAATGGTAATTTCCTCCCAGGTTTTAAAAACTGAATTAGACATGAAACCATTTTGGTGATTGGTTCCTGGGCTGAATGATCCGATCGGTTCGAATGGATGGCTCACTCTGATTTAAAAAATAATAATTAAAATAAAAAAAAAAAACTGTCAAAAACTGTTGTTCGCATCGACAGTTCAAGCGCCTGGTTTAGCAGATAACCGTCCAAGTCAATGGTTTTTTGCCCAAAAATAGTTTTAGGGTGAAACGGAACAAGTTATCTAGACAGTTCTTGGGCAACCGGTCTGGTTTTCAAAACCATGACTCCCTCCCCCTCCCTTGGAAATGAAATCCCTTCCAGCTAATTCCAATTCTCAGGCCCCGTTTGGTTCATAGGAATAGGGGTCTGGAATCAGAATCGAAATGGGATATTTTGATTCCAACTGTTTGGTTGGGCAGAATCGAAATCCCATTCCCATTAATTCCTGTTAGAATAGTATTCTTCTATTTGAGGGAATGGTGATTCCCTGTCTTTCCCTAGGAAATGAAATGCCATTCTGCTAATTCTAATTTTCATTCCCATTCTCATTCCTGTCTGAATCAAACAAATGATGGAAATGGACCATTTCGATTCCGATTCTAATTCTGACTGCAAACCAAATAGACCCTCGTTTGAATCCCTGTCTGATCTAAACAAACTATGGGATGGGACTATTTTAATTCCAATTCCGATTCTAATTATAAACCAACAAAATGGACCCTTAGTTCTACGGCCCATGCCGGGGCTTAATTTTCTGGCCGACTGCACCCAAACTGGTTTCAGACCTACACAAGTTATAATTATTGTGCCCCCTTTTCACTCAATTAGTCAGGTCTAATTTTGGGGCCTTTTAGCAGGAAAATACATGTAGTCCATGCATCAGGCAGTGGCCAGTGGTCCATCCTATCTTCAAGACAGATGTATATCATATTTGTCATGGAATCCTTGAAACCACTGAACAAAACTGGGGTTATCAATGTACAGCACGGCCTGTGGCCCAGTTATTTTTATATCTAACTATGTTTTTTTTTTAAAATGAATAATTACAGGCAATTTCCATGGTGCCGTAGAAGGGTATGAAAGCTGTAAAACCTTAATTAATCAGGTCCCACGTGGATATACAATTAGCTGGGCTAGATACTGAGTGGGTCCAGACACAGCCAGGCCAGCCAGCTAGCCACTTTGACTAAGCCCCCTGATGGGGTTACCAATTTTCATATAGTATTTTATAAATTTCATGTTGAGTTTTTCTATGTTTTATCTTTTAATCCAAATATTTCATATATATATATAACCAGAAGGGGCTACAGACGACGGGGGTAGCACGTCAAGATAATGTATGTAACGATACCAAATAAAATCCTGATTCAGGGCTAGCCGGGCCTTCATATCTTTAATGCCATGTTTGGTTTATTATAAAACAGGAGAGAATCAGAAAGTTGAGGGAAGGTTCACAAGAAATTCTGAAAGGACTTTCCCTCAACTTTCTGTTTCTCCCTTATTTTCTAATAAAATAGACAGATTCTACAGTCTGTTTGGTTTCCTAGAAAATTGGTCTGGGAAAGGAAAGGATGGGAGGGCTGGCATGAAAAACAGAAAATTTATTCTCACTGAGGTATCTTTTGTTTGGTTTGGTTTGTTGAGCCAAATATGTGTGAAAATCAAATTTTCAGTGTTTGTTTAGGGACAAAATTTGTAGAAATTTATGATGAGCCCACTGTTGTTTTCTTTTACGTCAAGGCTATGTTTGGTTTGAAGGAAAAAAGTTAGGAAAGGGAGGAAATTATAGAGAAACCTTTTACAAACCCTCTATAGGTTTTCCTTTCTTTCCCTACATTTTCCTTTAAACCAAACACAACCCAAGTGTACTGTTAACATTCTGAAGAAGAAACCACCCAGAGCCAGAAGCAATTCCATCTTGAGATTTGGCTGGAAGTATCGGGGTTTGCATCTGCAACAGTCCTTGCAGTAACTCTGTTGTACCAAAAATGACTGTCTCCAATCCTCCGTCACTAATGCAATTTCAGGGTTTGCATTTGCTTCGATTCCATCAACAAGGTTCTGATGGTGTATGTTCAGAAACTCTTTCAGGGCTTCGAGAGGAGAACTCAGCATTAGTGATAAATAACTTGGAATCTGCCTTTAATCTACAAAATATATAGTTGAGAAAACGTATAGACATACAAAAACCCAAGCATATTAGCAGATCTAGAAGGAAACCCCAACTCATATATATGCATCGGACACTACCGGAATCAATGGCATCTAGAACAGGGTGACCAGTTATCGCCAGCACCCTAAAACAACAACAAAAAACAAAGAAAAAAATGGGCATAAAAATATGCCCAAAGCAACGAGTGTTGTCCCAGACGAATCATTTTCAGAAACAACGAAAACAGTTGGAAGGGGGTAAACATTGGATTGAGAGAGAAAATATCAAATAAAAAATAAGAAAAAGAGGGCTTAAGCGAACCAACATTAAGTGGTTAGAGTTCTAACCATTGGAGGGCATGAAAGGTTGGATCCAGGAAGAAAGACTAGATGCTATTGTGATTTGGGAAGTCCACCACGTTCCAAGTTTTGGGTAGGGGTGCAACTTGGGCGGGTTAGGGTTGAAGTTTGTCAAAATTTGAGTAAGTCCAACCCGAAGCCTAATCCCAAAGCAGTGTAAAATTTTAGGGAAATTCTCTATTAGTACCTTGTACTTTGGGTTTAGTGCCACTTTGGTCCCCAAATTTTAAAACGTGATAATTCAATACCTAAACTTTCAAAATGTGTCAATTCAGTACTTTCGTTAACCAATACGTTAATCAGTCGTTAAGTAATATTTGAAAAGACACAAATGCTCTTTGTGTGTCATCTAATTTTCTTTATCAACCATCCACATGTTGATAAAAATGAACAGTATCAAATCTTTGACTCTTCTATTCAAAAAAGTTGGGGTAATGTCTCAGTAGGCATTATGGCCCAACTTTCTTGAATAGAAGAGGCAAGGATTTGAGACTGTTCATTTTTTGTCAATGTTTGGATGGTTGATAAAGAGAATTAGATGACACTCGAAGGGTATTTCTGTCTTTTCAAATGACACTTAACAGTTGGTTAACAGGCTGATTAATGACAGGTATTAGATTGGCAAATTTTAAAAGTTTGGATATTAAATTGTCACGTTTTAAAGTTCGGATATTAAATTGTCACGTTTTAAAGTTCGGAGACCAAAGTGGCACTAGACCCAAAGTACATGGTACTAATATGGAATTTTCACTTGGGCCAACCCAAGTTGCACCCCTAGTTTTGGGAAGTCGCATCATGTGATTTCTCCGTCTGCCTCACAACACAAACAAAGAAAAGTAGGTATTTAATGGGAATATTCTTATTTTTTATTCCAGTGGCAGTAACCAAACGGACCATAAGCAAAAACCAAAATAAAAACGGTTTTCAAAAACTCAACACCGTTTTATTGAAATTAAAGATGGCCAAAATGCGAGCAAAACAGCAATGCAAGTCGTCTGGGCCCTGGGGCAAGTTCATTTAGAAGATAGCTAGATTCGAAAAACATGAAAAGTAAGAAATGAATTCACTCGAAAATGCTTTGAAAAATCTTAATAGTTTTCAATTCTTATCAACAAAACTAATTTATTAAACTCCTTGATAATGTTTATTGGTTGTCATAATGTTTATTTACTTTTTCCTTATTTTCTTTTATAGACTTGCTATTAAATCATTGCAGTTGTGTGGAGGAGGTAAAAAGGAATTAGCATGATTCTAACAACATTATCCTTTGCTTTGTTCTATAATATTAAATTATTAATGCCATGTTTGAGTTCGAGTCCCACCTTGCTAAATTATTAAAAGAAAAAACCTTCAATCTGGCTACTTTTGGTCCTACATTGACATCTTGTGTTTCCCAATAATACTTTTATAGCAAATGGGGCTGGCAACGGGTTGAATCTGGCTGTAAGTTGGAACTGATTTGATAAGAAATTTTAAGGAACTAATATTTCTTGAATCTAGCAAATAGGATATGTAATTTTAGACGCAGGATCAAATTGATTGATCGGTTCTTAGGACAATCGGGTCTGATCCAATTGACCCAATTATAATAAATCTGCTGAAAATAATATACATTTAATAGATAGATAGATAGATAAATCCAAACCAATAATAATCGAGATAATATATCAAGAACCGAAAGCAACCGATTTGGGACTTGGTGTGCAGTTGCCCTTGATGGGGTTTTGGGACTAGGTCATTATATAATATGATATAAATACTATGTATTATGTATATATAATATATTTTATATTATATATACATAATACATAGTATTTATAATATATATTATATGCTATTCGTGTGTAGGTCTGATGTGGGCCCAGGCCCAGGCCGGGCATGAATGGAAAATCTATGCCCACGCCTGGGCTTCCTGGGGCAGACTGCCTGCAATTGATCACCCCAATTTGCTGTGCTTACTTAGTTACTAGTTACTGCTCTAGAAGAAAAGAAATGATGGAAGGAGAGTTAAAATCTTATGGCCCAATAGAAAATACGTATGGGAGCCTTCTCGATATATCCCTATAAGGGAGTGTTTCGGATCGGCAAATGGTTTAGAGGGCAGACTGGCCTTAAATCGGCCCCTCTAAACTAATTTCGAAAAAAGAAAAACACATTAAAAACAATACCGCTACAGATTAATACGCCCTGCATCAATATTTTGAACCTTGTTGTGAAACATATTTTTTGAAGATATGATACGAGAGAATTATATCCAGCATGAAGCAAGAAGAATCACAACACCAAGTGAAGGAGGTTTATGCCTGTTGTGTGTGAGGAGCGGCATCAAGACTCGAGAACTAGAGCTTCATTTGGTCCTTCCCAAGAGGCAAGAGGCAGGAGAAGGAGTAACTCATAGTGCCCCTCGTCAGTGCAAAACATAGTTTTTTGGGATGTCTTATGGCTTCACTTGGATCTGGTGATAACCCGACCTCAGGTCGAACTTCGAGAAGATGTTAACTCATCGACAAATGGCACTGGGAATCTATCCTTGATAGTAGGTTTGTTCAAGGCTCTGTAATCAATGCATAAGGGCCAATCCCATCTCTTCTTAACAAACAACAATGGGGGAAGAGAATGAACTGTTAATTGGCCGAATAATTCCTACATTCAGCATATCCTGAACGATTTTCTCAATTTCGTTCTTCTATTGATAATTTGATATGGGTTTCTAAACTCACATCAATGGTTCATTGGTTTGGGCGAAGGAAAACCGCTGGTGGATGTTTCGAACACATTTGCATATTCCTCAAACGGAGGATGCACATGGGAATCATCTGCACCCATCTCTTTCCCTTTATCTTCTTAATCAAAAAGTTGCAGAAGGAAGAAGCATCCAATGATGTGGATAACTTTGTTGACTTGTCCTACATTTGCACCCCTTAGATAAACAGGCTCTTGGTTTTGTTATTAGTGGGCTCCCATGAACCCTCTTACGAGAGCGGATTAGATGAAACTTGTAGCAGTGTTTTGGGCTATAGGACCAATGATAATGCCCCACACCAACCTTAACTTCAAGGGCTCCATTCTCTTCTATTGCTAACCCACTAGAGAGAGAGAGATTCAATCCAAGGTTCAAATTATCTCAGTGTCAGTATATATCATACCATATGTATTTGTCATATGCCCACTTATGAAAGTTAAGGGAAAATCTATGATGCGGAAAAGATATGGTATGGGAAAAGTTTTGATCAATCAAAACCCACCCATGAATTTTGATAAATAATACCTTATAGGCTACCACACTTATGATTCTAGTTGACTGGTTTAAAAATTTTAGATATCATATCTTTTCTATATCATAGTCGAACCCAAGTTAACATCCTTCCTAAAGATGTCCTGACTTGATTCTTAATGCTGTGTTTGGTTGCATTGCAATTTTATTTGCACTAGTATAAATGTATGGGAGTGCCAATGAAAAAAAAATGCAAATATTGGTTTAGTTTTGTTTTGAACTTTACTTTATTCGGCTTTAGTTCTTATTTTACTTCGTTTTTAATGCAACCAAATAAAGTAAGGTAAAATTTGAAACAAAAGTAAATCAAAATTTGCAGCTAAATCATTTGCACTACCATAATTTTGCATCAATGCAAATAAATTTACACTGCAACCAAAGTTACCAAACACAGCCTAAAGTGTTTTGATAAAAAAGACTTTCACCCATTTGAATTGCTCAACATGCAACTTTTGCGTATCACACTTATCCATTGATTGAGCCAAGGTTCAAACAAGTGCAGAGATAGGCTCTCGGTAATTGTTTGGGACTGGCCAAGGAGATTAAGCTAAAAAATATTTGTATGACATCGATTAATTCAATGAAGCATCAGAATGCTGAACCTCCAATAGATAATAGCTTATGTTGAAGAAATTATCCAGGAGATGCACCTTTTTTTTTTCTTTTCTTTCTTTTTTCTTTTTTTAACAAGATTTTATTCCTTTTGAATATACTCCAAAAGAAGCTAACAAACACTAATAAAATTATTATTATTATTATCCATTTGACATGATCCGTAGGACTTACAAGTTGTAACTAAACAACCGGTGTCATAAACACGTTAACAAATTCGGTGGTAATTATCAAAATTTATGAGTGGGTTTTAATTGGTCAATTCTCTTCCCGATACCAAGGTTCAAAGTATCGACAGATATTAGCCCGTATCGGCTGATACGTATCATTTCAAGACCTCTCCAATACGCCCCTACAGTGGGTGTATCGGGGATCTGACCGGTTCAGGGGGTGGAAGAGCTCTAAACCGGCCCCCCTGAACCGGCTTTGAAAAAAAGTAAAAAATAAAAAAAAGGTATCAATTCACCCGATACACCCCTACTGGTATATCGATATTTTGAACCTTGCTCCCAACACCATAGATTTTCCCTTTGCTATAACAAGCCTAATATGCAGTAAGTACTCTTTGCCGATGGAAATTGTATTGCAATACAATCGAGTACCTTTTTGTTTTTCCCCCTTTTTTATGCCATTATGTAACCACTGGACCTTAAAAATACAAGCCCATTCCCAACTCACCAATCCATCCATCTGCTTTAACAGTCTAATGGTCCAATTTTTTCTCGGAATGAACCATAATAATCAAACCTGACCTGACCGTTTCAAATTACTTGGGAGATAAAAAAACGAATATTGATTTTTTTTTGGGAGGGGGGTGGTAATAAGCATTTGGATAAAGACCATATTTACAATGAAAGCAAGGAAAAGAACGGAAACTACAAAGGAAGATTGGATCATCATTCTACCTCCTTAGAGACATGAGATCCAGTGTTGTCTCCACTAGTCAAAGAATCCAAGGTAATTGAATTTGCAACCAACTTTAGATCATCTATTCTGGGACTGTCACAAGAATGACAATCAACCAGGTTATCAATATTAGAACAACCAGGGACACCAGTAATGGAAGCATTTCTAACTTTACGCTTTCTAGCTTTACTTGTTGGGGCACCACCAGTGGTACCCGTACCATGCTGTTCTGCTGTACCAGCCTTTGAGTATGGCATCATCTTCCTTGATGATCTTTTGGGACGAGATGGAAGCCCATTTTCTAAACAACTTTTGCCAGTTTGGTCATTTCCATTTCTGCTTTCTTCACTAGGTCTTGGACTGTTGAGATATCCCAAGGGATCTGAAGTTGACTGTAATACTCTGCCTCTGATGTCTTTGCATTTTTTCGTAAATCCTAACTTACAGGAAGCTGTACTGCTTTCGGTGGCATCACAAGCAATTGCTTGTGGACCACAAATTCTTAGTTCACATTGCTGATCATCACAAGCTGCAGTCCTTGCAACATCCTCGACTGCAACAGGCAGAACATCCTATTTACAAGTACCAAATCTTAATTAACAAATTAGAAAATTTGATGAGCACAAATTAAAGTTCATAAAAAACAAACAGCTAAATATTAAAACAAATTGCAATTGCCATTCTAGAGAGATGGATGAAAATTTCAAAATGTGTGCATGAATCATGTTCACCTCAATCTTGCAACAAGAATACAGTTGGCAGCATTGATTATACAAAGAAGCAGGATAATGCCTAGGAATGTATGATATTCTATTACTATACACAGCAGCACAATGTGTTCTGGGCTAAAGGACAAATTTGCAGGTTTTCAAGTCACATTGCAATTGATCTGATATTTTGTTCCCATTCCACTAACCAAATTCACTATGGGAAATTTTCCTGGTCTTTTTCAGCTGGTGTGGGAAAAGCAAGAGAGTCTTTTAGTCCTACAAGGTGATGGTGAATGAAGTGTAGTATCCCCACTTTAGATGTAATATTAATGATTGGGAAGTTGATATTGAGGACAAGAACATTTGGAGTCTGAGCCCATCTCATTCCTTCACGGTGAAATCCTTTAGAGCCCTCATGCAAGGTGGAACTAGCTCCTTTCCTTGGTAGTGGATCGGGTTTCCTCATGTCCTCACCAAGGTGTATTTTTCATGTTGCCGCTTACCTGAATAAAATCTTGACTATGGACAATCAAGGGGAAAAGTTACAAGTCAATGTGTGTATTGTAATTCATCTTGGAGACAGTGCAGCATTGCTTATTCATTGTGAATTTTCTACCAAGGTGTTATGGCACTTCGAACAGCTGTTGGCCATAATTATGTCATCCCTGGTGGCCTTTAAGGCTTAGTGGACTCATGGCTAGCAAGAGGTTTTAGTAGAAGAGGGAGAATCTTTTGGAATTTAACTCCTTTTGCAATTGGATGATGCCTATGAAAAGAAAATAAACAATAGAATTTTGAAGGGAAGAAATCTGAAGAACAGTCTCTGATTTGTTGCATTGAGAGAAGGATCGTCTCATTGGGTCTAATCCTTGGACTTCAAAAGGATGCAGCATTCCAATCTCTGTAATGAGTGGACATCTATTACTTTTTGTTGCTAGGTGGGAATGTGGTCTTATTGTAATTTCTTGAAAGGTTCCCACTTTCCTCTCATATTGCGCTTTGGCCCCAACTTCTCTTCTGAAATGAAGCTCTTAGGGAGCGTTTGATAACGCTTTTCAGAGGTCTGGTGTCTGAAAAACTTGCTTTTCAGACACCAGACCCATTTGGTGTTGCTTCTGAAAACTGATCTGAATTTTGTTTTCAGATCTGAAATCGAAAGTGCACGGCCGGCTCTTAACGCGCTCAGATGCGTTTCAGAGCTAGTGCAAAGTCGAAATTACCCCCCAATATTTTTGAAATGATGCAGTTTTGCCCCTGTTTAAATCCAAACCAAAAACCTAGGTCATTTGTGTTTTCTCTCAGGGACGGGAAAGAAGATCCCCGCTCGTGAAGATTGCTCCAGGTATGTTTTCATGGCTGAAAGTCTTTCTTTTATCTCCTTTTTCTTCTTCTTCTTCTTCTTCATTCGCACACATCTGATTTCTCTGTATTCTTCACTTTTTTTTTATCAATTCTCTGTATTCTTCACTTTTTAGGGGTTAAAATGTCATCCTTGCACAAGACACCTAGCCAAAGGCTAACAAGTGGCGAAGGTATCATCTTCTTTACTTTGATGTTTTTATGTTTAAATATTTTGATTTGTTTGATTTGTTTATATTTTTTTTTTCAGAAGAGGAACTAGTATTGGTGGTTTTTAAGTTGGTTTTCCTCCTTTCCCTGTGTTATGGTGGTTTTGAGAGCTGTGCTGTAGAGGGTCTGTTCAAGTTTTGAAGGTTGAAGGAGCTAATTTGGTGGTCTTGCAGGGAGTATTCGAAGTTCATTCTCCGTCTCTTGGGGATGGTTTCGCGCAATAACTTTCTGGGTTCTTGCTGAATATGTTCGTAGGTTAGGGTGGTTTTGGTGTGGTGTTTGCAAAGTGGAGTTGCTGCATTTGCAGTTTCTGTAATGGAAATATCTTTTTTTTTTTTATGAATAGTCTGTAATGGAAATATCAAGATGTTGTTCTACCTTCTATGGAGGAAAGAGCATTTTGATTGTTTCTGTTATTTATTTTAATATTTTTATTAGATGGGAATTATTTGTTTAATTATTTTGTATTTTTTAATTATTAATTTCATTAATTTTTTATTAATTATTTTAATCCTTATTAGTGTTAATTATTTCAATTTTTATTAGTTATTAATTTTATTTGTGTTTTTTATTAATTATTAATTATTTGTATTAATTTTTAAATATTATTTTGAATTTGATAAATTATTTTATATGAAATAGTACAAGTTGAGCTCAAATTTACCAAATAGTCTATTCTAGGGGTAAAATAGTAAAATCAGGAAATTTCAGATGTTAATGGTTTGGTCCAACCCAAACAAGCATATCTATTCAGAGCCTCTAAAAAGTAGAAAAGCATTTATGCCTAGATTTCAGACAATGTCTTTTTAACTTTTCAGACTTCAGATTTCAGATTTATCAAACTCCACCATAATTATCAAAAAAGGAGAAGAAACTAGCATGCGAATTGTGAAAACGTTATAAATAAGAAAATAATAAAAGAAAACTAGTATCATCATCATGATCTTAGCCTTGTCCCAACCATATGAGGTCAGCTACACGATCCTGTTTCACCATTCTGTTCTGTTCAGGTGTCATATCCATCTTCAAATTACGAACACTTAAATTCATTTCTTACTACAACACATGTCCTTTTGGGTCTGCCGTAGCTCTTCTGGCCCCTTCAATTTGTAACAAATCACTTCTTATAGGTGTTGTAGATTGTCTTTTATGCACGTGACCGAACCATCTTAGTTACTTTGTCTCATTTATCACCTATTGGAGCTACCCCTAGGTTCCTTCCAATAACTTCATTTCTGAACAATCTGAGCAATGTTCTTTGAGCCATTATAACCTCTTTTAGCCAGTAAAATAACAATTCACACATTCCTATTCCTCACAAACTATGAACTCCTCATGGAATTCACTTTCATCATCTCCACTTTCGAGAACCAGAGGTCACCATATCAGATCTAGTGTGGAGAAACTTCTTGCTCACTCCACCATTTGATCAAGCTCACTTCCACAAAAATGAAGTTGGAGAAACCCCTCACTCTTTCAGTAACCCCAAGCACCGTCCTCTTAAGCTTGCCTCCATCAGTCAGTTCCAGATTACTTGGGCCATGGATGATTCTTTATTTTTTTTAGATTGTACCACCCTGTCCATCCTTGAAACATCCTTTTGGATTCAGTTGTTCATTTTCCTTTCTCTCTACTTACATGGTATATATATATACCATGCACAAAATGGATCCCTGATTTTTTATACGGAAAATTTCTAGGTGGCATAACTAATATTTTCATAATTTTTTCTGCCTTGCCCATTTTCATAACTATATATGAAAATGGAAAGCATTAAAATGAAAACAGAAAGCATATCTGCCCCATCAAAAAGATGTTCTGACGTGCTTAGAACCATCCTGTACATCATTCTGCTGTATGTTATTTACCAAATAGCAAATCCATATCAAAAAGAGAACTATAAGGAACACCCCCAAAACATCTATCATTGGATTCACTGCCACCATTGAGTTTATCCTGCCCCATTTGACCTCCTTTGCAATTGAATCTTCCTAGATGAATTTGTTTTCAAAAATCCAAGTATTCCTTTCTTTCCAAATGGTCCAAACCAATACCAGATTACCAGGGGCATAAACCCCAAATAATTTTCCTCCTATTGAGTCTTTCAGCTGCCAAATCCATAAGAAAGCCCCCATGGTTTCTGGGAAACAAGCTTCCACCCCAAAAATGCCCATCATTCTGGCCCAAATCCTTCTGGTAAAAACAACGCAAAAACAAATGATCCACCAATTGCATGCAATTAACACAAATGATGCATACAACATTAGCATACCCTATTTAATTAAATTATCCACTGTTAGGAATTTGTTTAAAGCTCCTATCCAAATTAAAGAATGCTATATTTAGAGTTGCTATGGTATGCCAAACTCTTGAACTAGGAAACTTAATTCCTTCAATATAGGACAACTTGTTATTAAAAGACTTAACTGTAAACTTACCATCGTTATCCCATAACCAGATCCTTCTGTCTGCTTTACTCCTGTTTGGTATAACTATATATTTTCTGCATTAATTCCAATAGAGGTCCTACCTCCCAATCATTGAAACCTCTCCTGAATGTGGGATTCCATACGCAAAGTCACAATGATGGACAAAAACATAGAAATGAAGATCTCTTTGTTCTGGGCCACCTCAAATAAATTTGGATATGCCTCCCTAAGTGTTGCTCATCAGACCAGGGACCCATCCAAAATCTCACTTTAGTCCCATCACCTACCTCATACTTAATCCCCCTTATAAAATCTGAATATGACTTCTGAGCGCCTCTCCACAATGCACAACCATAAGGTTAGAGATGTCAATGGGCCAGTTCTGGTTAAGGACAGGGTGTACCAGTCCCAAACTGTAATTGGTTTAGAACCAAATCTTTTTTTTTTTTTTTTGACAAGTAAACCTAACCAATTATTAATTGGGATAATCAGGTCTGGCCCAAGTAGACCTAATTATACCTGGGGAAAATCTATGATGCGGAAAAGATATGATATGGGAAGAGTTTTGACCAAACAAAACCCACCCAAGAATTTTGATAAATAACACCTGATTGGCTACCACGTTCATGATTCCAGTTGACTAGTCAGAAGTTTTTCAGATATAATAGTTGAACCTATAAAGAGACTGGGTCGAATGGGCCCTAACAGCCTCTCTTGTAATATCTTTTATTTTTTGTTGATGGGTCTCACTTAATGGGCCTGTTATTTATTCTTGTTTTATTTTCTTTATGTAACTGCCAAGCTGGCCGCCCACTTAAGGGTATTCTTGTCATCATCAAATATTTAGATATTAATAAAATAGGG